TGTTAAAATGTATCTGAACTTGTTGACCCAGTTGAAATATAATTTATATATTTCCTAGGCTCATCAACTATATTGATGGTATGTTACAAAAATCATTTTTCATTTGATAAAAAAAATTAAGCAATAATATATCTTCTAATGTGTTTTGAATAAATCATGTTATTTAATATGCTTGTGAAAATTACTGTATTTGTTTTTTCTCTTCAAAATACACATGTTTTCTAGCAAAATGATATGCTATGCTTTTCATTTTTCTATAGAAATTAGTTAACAAATGAAGTTTCAAAAAATAATTAATATGTATATATTCCCGTATAAATATTTTCTATTAATTAATATAATATTTAATATATTTTACTTGATAGTATTAAATTATTTATGTTGTAGCATATTTACGAAATTATGGGGATATTAACTGATATTTTATTATCATACACAAAACATGCTACTAACTTATATATCTATTATCACCAAACAAAGGTTTTGATGTTATTGTTCGTATAAGTTCGACTGTCGATCTCAATGAAAAGGCTTGCTTCGATCTTGAAATAAATGTTAGACATATATAGGTACAAACCAGCCAATTGTGAAGGTTTGTATAATGTTAGATACATCTATAAACCAATTGGTTCATTATTATTGTGAAGGATTGTGTGTACACGTGAATAATTTTTTGGTAAGTGAATAATCCAATTATTTTTTTATAAATGTATTGATTGATTTATAGTTAACTAATTTTCAGTGGCATGTCCTTGTAATTTTTGAGGAAAATTAAGGGGTATTTCCTGTTTGTACTTCCATTTTAATAGATTAGATTATAAAATGAAGTCTGTAAAATATGTGAAGTCCAAAATGAAGAAATTTTGTCTATAAAAATTATGCATCTCTAACTTAACAAGAATTTTAAGTGATGGCTTCTGTTCTTTAACTGACATACCAGAAGCTTGAATACCATTACAATTTTTACTTTTCTAATTGAAAGATCCAATACAACATCTGTATTATTTCATAAACTGAAAAAAAAACAACGGTCCAAAGCAAGTACACCATTAGTTATTTAACTCATTGTAGATATACATTACAAAAGGAGAATGCATCTAGAAAAGATAACAATGAAAGAGTTATATATAATCATTATTGAAATCAACATGAATATATATATATATATATATATATGAAGATCATCAAGATTTGGAGGTCGTGGATAGGGTGTAGCATCTATTTATACAACGTGATTAGTGGGTTTAAGACAACTAGATGCATTGTCAAAAATCAAATTATTTTCTTAATATCTTGGTCAACAAAAAATATTCTTTGCATAATATGAATTTCCAAATAATCCTAAAACAACTAATGAATATCTACTCTATCGTGAAAGAGATAGTAAAAGGTTTCAATTGCACATAGAGGATCTTGATCCCTCGTCGGTCACAACTGGAGGATGGCTTGAAGATACCTCATTGGTTAAGAAATAATAGACTCTTTTGCATAATCACAAATTCACAATAATAGAACCACATGAGAAGTTTACAGCTTTTGAACTTTTACTAGCCGTGAATTAATTACTAGTTAAGAGTTATAATACTGGTTAACTTCATTAATACATATTGTTCTTGACTCTCTGGAATTCGAGTGCTTCTAATGCTAACTTGTCATTTAGCTTCACAGATGCGTCCATGAACTACCTGATCATAAGTTCTGATTCGTTAACAGATTGCTTGCGCCTTATACAGATTGCATCTAAGCGTGCTTGTGTCCCCATGCATCAGTCTCATTTTTAGCTTAGCTTCTCCTTGTTGTCTGTCTAGATCTAACCATTATATTTCTTTGGTTTTTCAAAAATATGTATTTAGATTTGATAATTTACAGAGTTTGCAGCTTTTTTATAAAAAAAATAGTGTCGTATTTAGATATGAGTGGTTTAGTTGTTTAGTTCATGTTATACTGTTAACAGAGCTGAGTAGACATCATTATTTTATTAAAGCATCGCCATTAGTTATTATAGAGATACATTGCAGATGGTAGATACATGGTGAGAAGATAACGAAGAAAGATTTATGCATACATCTTAACTTTTCATTATCCAATTCAACATGAATATATATATATATATATATAAGAAGAAAATCATCAAGAGTTAGAGGTAGTTGATGGAGGGGTGGAAGCAGGAGGTTTTTTAGGACAGCCACAATATTTATATTTGAGGCAAATTGGCATCTTTCCTGTATCCAGACATCTTGGGAGCCAAGACTTCAGACAATCTTGGTCTGTTTGACATATTATCAAAGGCAGTGCAACAGTCGCATTTAGCATACCTGCTAATCATTCATGGACATCACCAAAACATTAGATATATTAAGGATATAACATATCGATTGATAGAGATCATAAATTAAGGTATAATGATTACATGACGAGACCAGGAAGAGGATGACGAAAAATGCTGAGATTTTCTCCATTTAATTTTTTTTGTATTGTTATGTGTTTGAATGGAGATGTTTATGGGTTCGTAGGATGTACCATCTATTTATACAACATGACTAGTTGATTGAAGACAAGCAAATACATTGCTAATATAATTAGTCAATAATCAAACTAATTCCTTATCAGTAGCGGATCCAGAAAATAATTTTACTAAGGTCAAAGTAGATTTTTGTTATTATTTTAATTTAATAATTATTTCAATTTTTTATTTATTTTAGAATTAATATTTAATTTAATTTAAATATATACTCAGTATATGGAACTATATCTAAAAATATATTAAAGGTATTTAATTGATAGCATTTAAATGTTTTAAAACATGAAACAATAAAATATTTTACATAATTTCCTAAATTTGACCCAAAAAATCAAAAATAATGTATATATTTACAGATTTTATTTTATATGGGCTAGAATTAAGAATTAACTCACATTATTTCTTTCATTTTGGGCCTTAGGTCCATGTTAGAATTAAAAGAGACATAAAACTGTTTAAAAGGACAAAATTTATATTAAATAAAAGAATATGGGTGCAACAAGGAGTCGAACCCGACTTTAGAAGGGATCAATACCTATTACTAGGGTCAACTCCTTATTAGCTGATATCATACAGTCAAGACCCAACATAGATATGGTGTCAGAGTCACTGATACTCTCAACATTTTTGGTATATGAGAGATACAATGACTTTCAATTAAAGTAATTGAGTTGACCAAGATAGTATGGAACAGGGGCAGATCCCTTCTCACCATCAGGACGAATTTTTTTCCTTCCTTGATCAAATAAATGGAGGACAAAGAACTCATACATACCTAGCATGTAGATGGTCTGTGAATTACCGGTTTGGTAGTACTTAAGCATGTATGTTCTGACATCATTAACCTCATCAATCCAGTCATTGAAGTGAATAAGATCTGCAGATTTGTAGAAGTATTCTTCTCTGTCAATTTGATTGAAGGTGGATAATGTAACTCTTGCACTACTGGAATTCTAGATATGATTTGTTGATATCTTAGAGAGAATCTTGTGAAATATACAAGGAGGGAGAGAAGCCAATTTCTTTGTTGTTTGTCTAGAACTAACCATTTCTTTAATTTTTCAAAATGCTGTATTTATATTTGAGAATTTAGAGATTTTTACATTTTTAAAAAAAAAAATGTTGTATTTAGATATGAGTGGGCATCATTATTCTATTAAAGCATCGTTATTAGTTATTACAAAGATTCATTGCAGGTGGTAGATACATTGGGAAAAGATAAGGAAAAAATTGTTATGCATACATATTAACTTTTTCATTATCCAAATCAACATGAATATATATATTATATATGAGGATCATCAAGAGTTAGAGGGCGCTGGTGAAGGAGGGGTGGAAGCAGGAAGTTTTTTATGGTGGCAGCCACAATTTCTGTGGAGGCAAGTTTGCATCTTCCCTGTGTGCTCACATTTTGGGAGTCCAAACTCCACACAATCTTGGTCTGTTTTACATATTATTAAACGCATAGTAACAGTCACATTTACCATACCTGGTAATCATTCATGTACATGACCAAAACTATTAGACATATTACGTATAACATATCGAATTCGAGATCATAAAACGTATATAATGCTTACATGACGAGACCAGAAAAAGGATGACTAAATATGCTGAGATTTTCTCCATTTATTTTCTTATACTGTTATGTGTTTGAATTGAGATGTTTATGGATTCATAGGGTGCAACATCTATTTATACAACATGATTAGTGGATTGAAGACAAGTAAATACATTGCCAATATAATTAGTCAATAATAAAAGTATCCTTACTGTCTTGGTCAACAAAATCTAGTCTTTCTACGGAGTACAGTAGGGATCATCAAGTTTCAAAAAAACAACAAATATACGGTTACGGTCAAAAAATATGTACACATTATCTTTATGCTAATTACGGTCAAGTCTTTGTATCTTTCCTATACCAACAAATGTTGAGAGTATCAGTTGACTCTGACACCATATACATGCTGGATCGTGACAGTATAATATAGCCTGATAATGAGTTCATTAGAAATATATTGGAAAGCGAAATGTGTATCTTGCGGACTAACTGTTACAGATTAGGGGTGGCCGTTCGGGTTTAGTTTGGGTATTTTGGATTTTTGAGTATTTCGGTATTAGGATTTAATATCCATTCAAGTATTTTTACATATCAGATCGGGTTCGAATATATTTAATTCGGGTTCGGTTATATCAGGTGAGGTTTCGGGTATTTAGATTTTGAAAAAAAAAATTGAAGTTTCTCCTTTCTCAAGTTTCATGTATTTAAAATTGGGTTTTTAGTAATAAAACCCCTCAACTAAAGATAAATCGTAAAAAAAACCCTCAACTAAAGATTTAGTGAAATAAACCCTCAACTTTAGTTTCGTTAATGTTTGTCACCCTCTGTCACGGAATTTTAGACGGAGGGTGACATATGTTAACATAACTAAAGTTGAGGGTTTATTTCACTAAATCTTTAGTTGAGGGTTTTTGTTACGATCTATCTTTAGTCGAGGGGTTTTATTACTAAATGCGGTTAAATATTTTATTTGTTATCATTTATTTATTATTTAAGAATCTTGCAACTGATTTATAAACATTGAAAATAATTTATAATTTTTTATATATTACTTTATCAAAATTTTAACCTATTTATAAAGCTTAGTAAATATTTTTATATTTTTATAAACTATTAATAAGGTTTAACAATGATTTTATGAGCTTTTATCTGCTATTACTTAGGATGGAATAATACATGATTTTTTCTTGATATTACGAAGTAAAGCGATAAAGCTTTATAAAAGAGGAAACACATACAATTTTCTTATATTAATATTGTCAAATATCAAATAATTAAGATTTCTAAGTTATATAAAGTTTTGTAGGTAGTGTTGAGAATATTTAATTAGTGTAGAAATTCAACATTGTTACTTAAAATATGGCAATGGCTTTTTCTTCTCTTTAAACAATTTCAGTTTGATTCGTACTTTTTTATGTTTCAGAAGAAATAATGTATGATTATTTTTATTTTTATTTTTTTAATTTTTTAACCAGTATGTTATACTGCTACCATATTAATCAATATTTTTTCTTCTTTTATTTATTTACTTCATGTTTTTGTAGTATGACGAATAATCACTTCTTTAATCTTATAAAATCATCATTAAACTTTAATAGTAATTTATAAAAAGTATTAAATGCGAAAACTTTATAAATAGGTTATAAAATTGATAAAGTAATATATAAAAATATCAATTATTTTCAATGTTTATAAATCAATTTTAAGATTCTTAAATAATAAATAAATTATAATAAAGATTTTAAAATATTTAACCGCATTTAGTAATAAAACTCCTCAACTAAAGATGGATTGTAACAAAAACCCCTAACTAAAGATTTAGTGAAATAAACCCTCAACTTTAGTTCTGTTAACATATGTCACCCTCCGTCTAAAATTCCGTGACGGAGGGTGACAAATATTAATGAAACTAAAGTTGAGGGTTTATTTCACTAAATCTTTAGTTGAGGGTTTTGTTTACGATCCATCTTTAGTTGAGGGGTTTTATTACTAAAAACCCTTTAAAATTTTACTATTACTTAATTATTTTTAAATGTTTAACAGGTTAGACAATTAATAAGTTTAAAAATAAATTATTGAAATAGAAAATCATTAATTTGGTTGTTACTTTTAAATTTTGGATTCATCTTTTGCTAAAACATGAAATAAGAAGCTTAACATGTATTTAAAATGAGCAACAAATCATTTTTTGTACAATATATATATACAACATTAATATAAATATTTTCTATAAAATGATATAAATAAACTAGGAATAAAATATGTATATATACATATGTTCGATCATCTTCGGATATCCATTCAGTTTCGAATATCCAATTTCTCTTAATTTAATATCTGCCCGGATATTTTGTTACTTTAGTTTAGATTTTGGTTCGGATTTCGGTTTAGATATTTTGGATCGGATTCGGGTATCGGGTTAAATGCCTACCCCTAATACAGATTATTAAATCCAGTTATAAAATGAAGTCTCTAAAATCTGTGAAGTCCAAGTTGAAGAACATTATATAGATCACATATTTTAATAAAATCAGTAACTTAATAGTAATACTAATGCATCAAAAATATCGTATATCATTAAGAATTACTAAAATATTATGTCACCATAATTTATTTATATTCTTTAATATTGAATAAAATTGTATAATTGTAATATATAATATTTGCAGAGATTTCGATAGCATCTTAAATAAATATTATGTTGGAGGTGCTCGATCTAAGAAGCTTATTGGCGAGATTTGTATTTTGCATACCAACTGTTACAGAGTATTAAATTCATTTTTGAAATGAAATACATAAAGTTTGTGAAGTCCAAGACTGATGATCTTCCTCTTGATATGTTTCTCTCTTTCTGTTTTAGGTTACCACAAAACTATTTTTTGTCCTAATTTTTTCTTGGAAATTAAGTTATGTGTATTATCTGGAGTTTGAAGAAAGAAATGAGAGTGATTTTTCAAATTACATGTCCTTTTGTTTTCTTTTAATTTCTTATCTCAGGACTCTAACTTTTGATGCTAAGTTATCCTTTATATGTGATGTATTAATTAACTGAACCTGCAAAACGCTTTGATGAAGCGTATTGAATTTCAGACCTTAGAGCGTCAATGTCAGACTTCAATACCTTGAGGCGCACATACATAAGCTTGAATACCATTACAAATTTACTTTTCTAATTGTAATTGAAAGATGTAATACAACATCTGTGTAAGTTTATTAAATTGGAAAAGAAAAACAGCGATCCAAAGCCAAGTGTTAGTTATTAACTTATTATAGAGTGATACATTGTATAAGGAAGACACATGGAGAGAAGATAACAATGAAAGAGTTGTATATAAAGCCTTTTCATTCTTCAAATCAACACGAAGATCATCAAGACTTGGAGGTCATCGATGAAGAAGTATCCATTTCATGGTAACAGCTACAAAGATAGTGGAGGCAAATTGGCATACCCCCTAGTTTACATCTTCCATACTTCACTGCACAATCTTCATCTTCTTGACATGGTATGACAGGCATTGCTACAGTCACATTGACCATGCCTGTTAATCATTCATGCACATACCAAAACAATTAGACATATCAAGGATGTAACATATCAAATTGATCGAGATCATAAAACGGATAATGCTTACATGACGAGGCCAGGAAGAGGATGACAAAAAATGCTGAGATTTTCTCCATTTAATTTCTTATATTGTCCTACTTATTATATGTTTGAATAGAGATGATTATGGATTCATAGGGTTTAGCATCTATTTATACAACGTGATTAGTGGGTTAAAGACGAGTCAATACGTTGTCAATATAATTAATTAGTCAATAGTCAGATTATTTTCTTAACGTCCTGGTCAACAAAAAATATTCTTTGCATAATATGAGTTTCCAAATATTCCTAAAACAATTAATGAATTCTACTCTAATATAACAGAGATATTAAAAATATATTCTACAAAAGTCATAATATCACCATTTCATTAGTTATTTAGAAGGATTTCTTTGTATATTTACATAATCAATCAAATATATAATATTTCTAAAAATGTTAATAATTCAGTAAATATTAATAATAATTCAGTTTGATTATAAATTTAAATTTTATTTTCGTTATAATTTGAAAAAATAGAAAACAATTTACTAAAATTTCTGAATAATTTTGTATAAAGTAATATATTAGTTAAAATTTTAATTAGTAATGCAATATTCCTATACATTAATATTAATTAATATTTTATTATAAAAATTGTAGGCTATTTTCTATAAATTTATATATATAATATCTATTATACTAAAATAAATTAATATATGACTTAAATATGACATAGTTACATACAATTGATAAATTAATATATTTTATTTTTAAATTATTTTAATTTAAAATATTATTAAAAATTAATTTACTGAAATTTTTTGGATCGGATTATGAGAATTCTTTAATATACAATTAAAGTTTTTTTTATTTACAGTATAACTTTTAGATTTATTTTTTTGAAACAGTAGATGTGTGTTTTTTCGTCAATCTGTCTATACCACCAACCTTAACTTGCGTATGTTGTTGAATTTGATGCATTAGTCATTACCTCACTACCACTACATTCATTTACTTAACATAAGCAGTTAAGTTAAATCACACTTTTATAATGTATTAACAAAAGAGTTATAACAAGTCAAAAAACTAAAACACAAGAAAAGATGCAAAATCACAAGTAATCAAAAAGCTAAAACAAAAGAGAAAAAATGCAAAACCACACACTGAAAATTACATATGATCATCTCAAACTTATTACTAATAACCTTAAGCTAAAAGTAATAATGTTAAATGGAAAACCCTTTTTATACACCCCACCCAATAGTCTATAGTCTTTGCAACGAAAAGATCAAAAGCCTGAATATGTTATATCACCCAAAAGTCCCCTACATCATGAGTAGTGAAGCATAACCTGCATAGTTCAGAGATGATGATGATGATGTCAGATTTTTACATTCAAAAACCCAACCTGAGATTACTAAAAGAGGCAAATGTAAGGAGCATTGTGTTTACCTGTTACCTAACTACTCGCTCCCAAGGTTATCATAGCTGAAACCTTCAGATATGGTCTCCAATCTCTTGTTGTCTCCTGCAAGAAACACTGTATCAGAGAAATACAACAGATACTTTCTTCTTCATTCTTTTTTTAACAAAGTCTCTATGTTTTCACCTTGATACTCTCCCCTGTCGCAGGAGTCCAGGAAATTTTCACCATCTGGCACAAGGAAAGGTGATTTATCATAGCTCTCCAGAATCTCTGGAATCAACAGGAAAAGCTTATGTTATAACAATGAAGCCTATTACTACCTGTTTGCTCTCTCTTGTACTAGCAAACCACCAATATGCTAACATGTATGAACAACAAGAGAGAAAGGAGTATTATGGTATAGAGAAAGACCTGAGCTCTGAGAAAAATCAGCTGTCAAATCAGAGAGGCTGAAGTTCCGAGGGATTTGACCTAAGAAACCAAAAGTAGCAGCTTCTGAATCAAGAAGCGGCTCACTGAGAGGTTGGTTGTTGTTGGACTCGTTACCAAAAGATGGGATTGAAGTGTCTCTAACTGTGGAATGTCCTCCCAAGGCATTCCTTTCACCACCATACATGAATGAAGTAGGGTTTGTAAAGGCAGTCTCAGACTTGATCATCCCTCCTCCATTCATTCCTTGCATCATAGGCATGTTTGTGGTCTGTGATGAGAGCATGTTCGGAGAAGAAGCATCAACTCTCCTTCCATGGGTTGATATGTTCACAGAAGAGGCTACATTTGTATTGAGTGTTGAAGAGCCATTGAGGTATGCATTAGAGAGACTTGAGGGCATAGGATGATGTGCATCAGACTTCAAAGATTGATCAGAGGTATAACCCAAATGTTTCTGACTCACTGCTAAGAGAATCGATGTCAGATTCATAGCACAAACTAGTAGGACAAGCAATAAAGAGACCCTAAATTACACATGAAAATGCATCTAGCTTCAAAACGAATCTTACTTGACTGAATATGAGAACCATTTGTGTTTTGGACGGAAGTAACTCCACTTGGATGCATCTGCTGCATGTGTTGAAACTGCTGCTCAAGTAGCTTGTTGAATTCCATTATCTGGTGTTTCACCATCAGCCTCAGATAGTAAGCCTTGAAAAACTCACGATTCTCTTCTTCAAGCTTCTGCCAAACTGTTAATCAAAAAGGGAAAATAAATTAGGCTAACTATCAAATTGATATACTTACACCATTTAATCAAAGTATAATGGATCTAGAAAGTAAAACCATCAATGAAAAAGGATTACACAATCAGATGCAAGCCAAAACTAATTTAAAGAAGCTGAAAACTGCTATGGATACGGATACCTAGTTCAGTGAAGCCAGGCTCGATTTTAGCTTGCTCCAGTAAAGTTTCAACGACTTCTTTCTGATTCATGTAGAGTTGAAGGCATCTTTCTATAAGGTTTTGAACCTGAGATGGGATAATAACATACAAAACTAAGTTAGTTGCTTTAGGTTGGAAAGACAGTTGGAAGTAGACAAGAGATAGAAATACTGAATTTTTCTGTTCATAGGTTCACAAAGTGAAGCTGAAGGCCTTTATCATCAAGTATGATGCGTTTAATATTACAGAAATTACAAACTTCTAGTTAAAAGCTCTCGAGCTATATAAATGACTATCAGACATATTCCTCCAATACATTATTGAGAAAGACATGCCTCAATTCTACAAAGGTTTTTTCCAAAGTATTTGAAGAGGGCAGCAAGAAAAAAAAAGGCTTAGAAATAGATAAGAAATAGCTGTCACAAACAACTAATATTGGTATTAGAAATACATAAACTTTCTGGATATTCAATCTATATGACATTCTATATGACAAAATGATGATAAAATCTCAATATATTTTCCAAAAAAGTTGAGATTGTGGTTTACTATGCAAATATTATCTAAAGAGAAAATAAATATAATTTTTTGAAAATTGAGATTCATGTTGCAAACAAAGTCCTTTTTTTAAACTTAATTACCAGTTGTATATCTTGGCGTGAAACCCTTCTCACTGTTCCACTTGACATGGCTGAGATTTTTTGTTAAACAGAGCTTGTTCCTGTCAGGTAGAAGCAGTTTTAGACACTGTAAATTGGAAAAAAATGAGTTTGAAACGGTAAATACTCCAAAATCTATATCGAATTATCGATCAGTAGAGATTATCCATCTTGCATTATCATCCATGACTCTAAATAATGGCTCTGTCTCACATGTTCAGACAGGAACTCAAAAGCAAGACCCCAGATAAACTAATAACATACTTTCACTAATACTTCTAGTGACATGAAAAATAAAGCTATACCTAACATCAAACAATCAAATGGTACCTCCACTTTTAGAACAATCATCCTAATTTATATATCCACATGGCCAAAGGCTTTATGTTCAATCAAAGACTACAAAACAAAACAAAAACATCAACAGATTCTATTACAAAACATCTAATATAAGATTTGCCCGGAAGAGGTAACCATTTACAAAGACATAAACTGCAACCTGTTAAGCTGATAATGAAAAATCAAAACTTTATCGATCAAAATCAAAACTTTCAATCCATTTCGTCTTCAGACACAACCGGATCAAACAAAAAACAATACTTTTAAAAGAACATGTTCGAAACAGAACCAATTCGATTTACGAAAAAGACAGAAGCTTTAACAAAGATTAGTAACCTCGGTCGCAAATCCGAGATCAAATCGTCGAGGAAGAGAGAGAGAGAGAGAGAGAGGAAACCTAACCTTACTTTGATCGTCGTCGTGGATCGATTCCTTTACTCCTTTTTTCCATTTTCTTTTTCATTTTACTAATTTTATTTTTTTTATAAATTACACATTCCGGCTGTGGAGCTCAGGAAGCTGACACGTGTAAAATGTGTGACTATGGTGGATCCCATCCATAAAGAGAGTTATCTGATCTTCTTGTTTTCGCCCAGACATTTTTTTTCCTGGTCAACTATACGGAGAGATGAAGAAGATTATGTTAAATTGTTAACATAATTTTTTTTTGTCGACTTATGTTATTTTGTACATGTTATTCTATTTTTTATATATTAAATGAGAATTTTAAAAAAAAAGACTAATATTTTAAATACAAATTTAGGATAAACTGTATATATTTTTATTTAACTGACTTATCTGCGTTTGTAGACAGAAAATATTTAAGAAAAAAATAAATTATTTTATTAATAAATTTAGTTTGTGTTTATATTTAATAATATTTTAGTTAGAGAAAATAATTATAATAGACCTAAAAAAGTTTTTGACACAAATATAGACATCAACAATTAAAATGACTAAAATAGCACTTAAATGTTTTATTAAATATACATTTTTATCTCTTGGGTTAACTAATCCTAAACTCTTTTGTTTAGAGTTGAGGAGTGGGGTTTTGGGGATATGGTTTCAAATTTAAAAAATGAAAAATGTTATTTTGGTTCTTTTAGTTTTTAAGGTCTATTTTTGTGATAAAAATAGAGATCTATTTAAGAGAATTGACTTTTTAGTTAAGATTGCATTAATAGTTATTGAATTTTTTATGTATTAGCTATTTTATTTTTCACAATATCCAATTTTATGATATTTTTTTTTTACTTAGTACAGTTAGTTTATTATCATTTGTATAGTTATTTTTTATAATTTATTTAACTTGGTTTATTATTGAGTCTAATTGGACAGGTTTGATATTGGGCTTTTACATTTAACGGCCTTGGATGTAGAGGAGAAAGCTTTTCAGTCTATGATCTTTATTTTATACCATTTCAAGGCTTGTAAGAGGTAGTCGAATACATTAGTTGATGGGCCTAATGCGTCTAATGTGTTTGTCGAACTTCACATTTATCGTTTTTTTCTTGACGGTATTTCTCTCGTGATCTTCAAGTTTTAACCGCTATATCCATGTGCTTCCAGTGACTTTCATGATTTCATTTTCAATTTTTACTCTTTTTCTTTTCCTTTTTTCACTTTATATCTTTTACAAATGCTCTTTAAACAGAATTACTTTACTGATTATTCTCTCTTTGAAGTACTCTCAGTGAAAAAATCACTTTCTATCACAAAAGTTACAAAAATTTGAAAACTGCCAGTTTAAGTTACAAAAATTTGAAAATTGCCAGTTTAAGGAAGGTATATGTCATAACTGAGTAAATCAAAGATCTACTATTGATGTAAAGCATTGAATGTGCGAATCTAAATAACGAACTGTATAAAATCATAATAATTGACTATGTAATAAAATCTATGTATGAGACATTTGTACACGCCAACGCATTAACTTTTTTGACAGCAAAATTAATTACCACTAGATTTTGACCCGCGCTTAAGAAGCGCGGGTTTTTTTTTTGTTAATCGTAAAGCCAAATATTTCGGAATAGATATTTTGATTGGTTTGATGGTGTTTTTAAATTTGATTGAGTTGATGGTAAAAGGGGTTCGAGATACCTTGTATTTATAAAATGAGAGGGTTGTTGTTCTATTATTTTATTTCAGTCTTGTAAAATTAAAAAAATGAATATGGTAAAAAGATCTTAAAATCAAAAAGATTGTTATTAACCCATTGAGAAGCGTGGATTCTATTTTTGATTATGCACAAATGGGTACTTAATTTTTTAAATTAAAAAAAAAATAAACGAAATTAAATTAAACCAAATTTTATAAATAATCGATCATACCATATATCTCTAGAATCTAAAAATAGAAATCAAACTGAGAAACCAAATAGGTATTTAAATATTTTTTATATAAATTATATACCTAAAAATATTAATTATATATAATATCTAAACACTAAATAACCTAAAATACTATTTTTAACCAAATTAGACAAATCAATGAATTAGCTGAATATTTTTA